CTGGCGGCGGCAGGAGGGCAGCAGGCAGCTGGGTGTGCGTGGGTGGCAGCGAGGAGGGGCGGAGGGAGGAAGCTGGCTTCCTGAAGCTTCCTTCGCCTCAAAGACAGACCGACAGACAGACAGACAGCTGTCCAGAGGCAGCCCTGGGGGCACAGCTGCGTTGGTGAGTCCAGCAAGAGGGGAGGAGGCGGCCTGTGGCCCCGCGGACGGCGGGAACCCCAGGGAGACGGGCGGGGGGTCTCGGAGGAGGTTGCGCTGGGTGCCACGGGGCCGGCGGGCAGATGGGTGCAGATCTAGCCGAGGTCCCCGCAGGGGGCGGATGGGGCCTGCGGGGGGAGCAGAACTAAGGAGCCCCTTTGCACCCCTCACATCTGCACGGGCTGCTCTGGCCTCCTCGCCCCGGCCCCTGTGGCCTTAGGGACTCTAAGCCCCCCATCCCCCTCCCCCCCACACACACACACCTCAGAAGCCATGACCCTGGCCCTGGAGCACAGGGACTGCCCCCCAAGAGGAGGTGGCACCAGACCTCTGTGCCCCTCTCCTGCCCCAGCCCCGGCTGCACCATTTGAGGTCGGCTCGGTGAGGCCATTTCCTGTGACGGTTGGGGAGCTGGGGGGATGGGCCGAGGAGGAAGGAACGCCCCCAAATCTCCCTCCTTAGACGAGACCCCCGAAGCCAGGATGAACTGGGGGCGAGGGGAGGCCGCTCGCAGCAGGAGAGGGTCTCGCCAGGGGCTCCCCTGGGTGCCCCCGCTGCACGCGGCCTCAGGTTGCCGCTCAGAGAGGAGGCCTCACGGGGGCTGGGCTGACAGGTGGCGGCTGCGGGCGGTCCCCGCCCTTCCACACGCAACAGCCACTTGGAGTTTCCTCCCGGCCCCCCTCACCTGGGCCCCGGCCTGGGGCCCCTGAACTTTGGTCTCGGGCAGCCCCTCCGCCCACTCGGCTCGGCCCCTCCTGGATCCTTTTCTATCTTCGCCCACAATCTCTTCCCTCCTCTCGCCCTTCCGCTCACCCCAGGCGGCCGGCTGCCCCGGGGCCCCGTGGAGAACCTGGCTTCCCACGGTGACAGTGACAGGAACACACACACGAACACACAGGCACACACGCCAGGGAAAACAGGAGGCCAAGGGCGGAAGGCAGCCTGGGCCGGGGGTCCCTTTCCCGCCCCCCAGGCCGACAGTCAGCAGCCCAGGGCTCTGTCTTGCAGGCGAACCTCATGGCCGAGTGAGCCTGCCCCGGGCCGGCACCCGCCCAGCATGGTCCAGGCCCGTGGGGGGCAGCCATGACCCAGCCTCCGCCCGCCCAAGCGCCAGCCAAGAAGCACGTGCGGCTGCAGGAGAGGTGAGACGCTCCCCCTGTCCCCTCCGGTGGTCCCCACTCCAGCCCTGAGAGCTGAGCCCAGACCACAGTCTGGAAAGGAAACCCAATGGCCTCATTTGCATGTCGTTTGCATGTCGTTTGCATGTCATGTCTGGGGCACAGTTTCATGTCCACCTTGTCCTTGTCCCAGGTCGGGTGGCGAGGCCGTCTTGTGTCCGGATGCAGGTCCCCAGGGACCCGGTGGGAAGGGGGACAGGTGGGCGGCCACCCTGCTCTGGGGAGCGGAGCTGAGAAGGAGCCGCAGCCCCGGAACCCGCTGGGCCCCAGGTCGGGGGAGACAGGAGGTGCCCAGTGACAGGGATGATTGCAAGCGGAGCCGTCGTCCATCACGGGCTCAGCAGGCCCCGCGTCTGTGCCCGCAGGCGGGGCTCCAGCGTGGCCCTGGTGCTGGACGTGCGGTCCCTGGGCGCCGTGGAGCCCATCTGCTCCGTGAACACCCCTCGGGAGGTCACCCTGCACTTCCTGCGCACGGCCGGGCACCCCCTCACCCGCTGGGCCCTGCAGCACCAGCCCCCCAGCCCCCAGCAGCTGGAAGAGGAGTTCTTGGTAAGGACTTGGGGGTCACCCCACCCTGGGCACAGGGGGTGGGGGTGCGGGCCTCCTCTCGGGGCCCGTAGGGAAGGGGACCCCGGGGCTCCAGGAAGGAGATGGCACCACAGTCCTCCTCTGCCCTCCACCCACCCAGGCCTGCATGGGGCTGCCAGGAGGGGCCAGGCAGCCAGGGCCCAGCTCCCCCAGAAAAGGGGGCAGGGGACGGGGCCTGGGCAGGGGTGCCGGCCATTCACTGGTGTCTCCCCCTCCCCCCGCCAGAAGATCCCCCCGAACTTTGTCAACCCTGAAGAGCTGGATGTCCCCGGGCACGCCTCCAAGGACCGATACAAGACCATCCTGCCAAGTAAGGATGGTGGTGGCAGGGAGCAAGGGGGCGGGGACGCAGCCCGGGGCCAGCGGAGTTCAGAAGGTGGGACGCACGCGGGACGCACACGGGACACACGGCTCAGCCCGGGAAGAGGCAGCGAGCACACACGGGGCCTCTGCTCTCAGCAGACACCCCAATGCCGCACGGCTGGGGGAGGGCGCGACCCACAGCCACACCAGCACCAGCAAGAGTCCATCTCCCACATGGGGGGCTCCCGGGGGACCCCGCTCCCCGCCAAGTCCCTTGAAACGACCCCCGATGTCGGTGGTACAGTATGATGATCCCGATTTTATTTTTAAATATATTTTTGTTGATTTCAGAGAGAGGAAGGGAGAGGGAGAGAGAGAAACATCCATGAGGAGAGAGAATCACTGATCGGCTGCCTCCTGCATGGTCCCTACTGGGGATCAAGCCCACAGCCCAGGCGTGTGCCCTGACCGGGAATCGAACCCGGGACCCTTCCAGTCTGCAGGCTGATGCTCTATCCACTGAGCCACACCGGCCAGGGCCTGATCCCTCTTTTACAAATGGGGAAACCGAGTCACAGGGACACTGCCGATGTCGCCCTCGGTCACCAAAACCCAGTGGCCCCAAACCTCCTTCCAGCTCTTTCTCCCACGTGGGGGACCCCAGCCGAGGCCTGCGGGGGGGCGGGGGGGAGGAGGTACCATAGGGGCGCCCAGAGAGGGGCCTGGGGACTCGGAGTTGGAGGTGGGGGCACAGTGACCTGGAAGGAGATGGAGGTCATGGGGCGGGAGGGCTGGGAGCTGGACCGGCCTGGGACCCGCAGCCGCTCCCTTTCAGAGGCAGCAGGAGGCCTGTGGCCATGAGGCCATGGAGACACTCCCTCCCGCCCCACCCCCTCTGAGCAGCCTTATCCGGCCCGCGTACCCCGTGTACCCCG